TCATTTTCAGGCTCAGCTCTCATCACTCTCTCTTGGTATAATGTGAGCCATAGCCTTTAGTCCATGGAAAATCACATATGATTTCTTGCTGAGCCGCCCTGAATCTTGGCTTACCTATGATCCCTATTGACACCAGGACCCAGTCCTGAAGAGATTTCACATTCACAGAAGCACATTAAGAGTAAGCATTTCAGTCCTCCCAAATACCTGAAGTATAATTTACAAGGCAACTTTCACCTCCTCAAAATCCCCACAAATCCCTGGAGCCTCTTGCTGTCCTAGCCCAGAACTCTCTCAGACATGCCATTCTGCCCTGCCTCTCCTGATACTCAACAGTACCGCATGGAGAGTGCCTCTCTGCTCTCCGTCCTCTACTATGGATCCAAGTGGCTTCTGTCCTTTAGAACTCCCATCTCATTCTCCCCAAACTGTATCACAAAAAGCCAAGACACTTGTCTGAGAATGGCAGAGTCCTCCTTGAATGAGGGCAGACCTAGGAAGGAACTGAACTAGTAAAGTCAGAACTTCTAGAGCACACAGTGGGAATAGACTAGAAACACTCGTCTTTGAAAACTGTTGTCTGGTTACACTGCAGCTTCATTACCTCACCTTATCTTGAGAATATGACCTCAAATATAAGTCATAGATCTGAACCTACTTTTCCTCTTACCTCCTACATTTGAGACTCTTCCCTAAACTTCGGCCTCATGGTATTATTCATCATTCCCCAAACCCAGCGCTGTGTCTTCCACCTGGAATGCCCTTCCCACCCTCTCCAGCCACCCACATTCCACTAATCCTTCAAGGCTCTGTTTAAACTCCTCTCAACATGTCTTCCTAGTGGTCCCAAGTTAGACTCAACATTTCTCTGTCTTGCATTTTACTTGATCAATAACTCCATTATAACCATTACCACCACTTACCTTGCATTATATACTTACACATGCTGGCTTCTCCAACAGAATGTGAGCTTCCAGAGGGCAGGGGTTGTATCTTGATTATTTTTATATTTCTTACAGGTTTCAGCACATATTAGATATTCAATAAGTGTTTGTGAAACTGAACCCCCCAAATTGTGGTTATGTGGTCTAGTCTTTCAAATTATACATATATATAGTTGTCAAACCCTAAAAACCTTCAAAGAACCTTGAGATAATGGTAGTCTCTTGTTCTACACTGTTTCTTAATGTGTCACAGAGTGACAACCTCCCTCTCTCCCCCCTTCCCTAATATCTGGAGGTTTTCCTCACTTAGACACCAGAAATACTAAGGGTAGAAAACACTATACCAGATAGATCCAAGATAAATGTTTACTTCCTTCAATATAGCTTATGAGTACAAAGGCAAATGCTGGACAGTGCACTGACACTACAATGATAAATTATAGAGACAGGAACTTTAGAAAAGGGAAAAGAGGCAGTCAACAAGGACATGCTCCATTGTGTATGTTACAACTCAGGGAAGAGGAAATGGCAGAAAAACCAAATCCACCTAAGAGTTTATTTTCCTTTGACTACTGAAATATGTTTATGCTCAGATGTCAACAATCTGTGATCACACACATGAAATGAAAATGCTCATATTTATATGGTACTTTTCATCCAGAGAATCCCAAGGCACCTTATAAATTATAAATATGAATGTTCCTGATGCAATGTCCCTGATGTTCGCCATACACAAAATCCAGTTCTTGACAACCAAAATCTCCCCCACCCCCACCATACCACTGAATATTTAAACATTTTTATCAGATCACATCTTTTTATCTTTAAAAAATCCTCTATATCAAAAAGTCTACAATTCACACTATTTGTCTTCTAACATATGCTGCGTCTCTCCTACCCACCCCTTCCCCCACTAACATGGAAAGTGAATTCAATTAGATTTAAGACAAAGAGTAATTGCGTTGGAAAATAGAAAAAATATCTCATCCGAGAGTGATTAAGCTCTTTACCTTATAGAGGGAGTTTAACTCTTTCAGGAAAACAGGATCTCATGTAATAAATGAGTACAGAGATTTGCTAAATCAAAGTGTAGTGTCATGCTTGAATCTAATTCCCCAGTCATCGGTGAGCTCTGCTCCAAGAGAATAGTGTACTCATTTTAAGGTGTGTAGAAATATAAAATAAAGACTAAGTCAATCAAGGGTTTTAATTTTTTTAACTATTCTTACTTTTGCAATAAGTATGTTAAAATCTGAAACTTAGTCTAAACTGTTAGATTGCATAGAGTGAATCTAACCATCTACGTTTCTAGAATAATTTTGTTCTTTTTGTATCTGGATTTTGATAACACTTCTCAGTTGGTCCAAGCAGAGCCTGAGTTATTCAGGCTACCAAAACTGCTTTGCCAGCAGCTTCTAACTACTTGCTTGTCAGTGCTCATCCTGGAACTTTTGCAGAAAGATAATAGAGTAGCTTAATGTGACAGGTTCTTTATAGAGGACATCCCAGAACTTTAGATGACCAATATAGGGATGACTGACATACAGGACTTTCATTTGCAATACTCCATATTTGAGTTGAGGAGAATTGTGTCAATTGCAGGGGAAACTTAAAAGGTAAATATGGGAACATCTGAGAGAATCTGGAGTAAAAAGACAGGTCAAATGTATTTGGCTGCAGTCAGCCCTGTGGGGGTGACTGCTCAAGGTTGCAGTAGAGCAAACAAGAAAAGATCTTTCTAGGGCAAGGAAATGAATTCAGGTGCCTTGAACTAAGAAATTCCCCTTCTTGGACTTTTTTCCACCTATATTTTTCAGACCTTTCATACCTATCAGTGTGGTTTGCCTTAAGCAAAACTGCCAAAATTTCTGCCGCTGGCCCTGTTTTAATACCTCAGTTAACCTGTCTTTAGTAATGGTAAAGTTCTCTAGGTCCAATCCATATATTCCTGTTCGTTCTCTTTAAGAACCAATAAAATAGGTACTATACATTTTTATGTCACAGAAAAACTAGCAACACAAGGCATGGCTTAGTTTTCTCCTGAGTTTCTCACGGTGGCATGTATTTTTCTCTTTTGAGTATTGCCTGGACTAAAGCAGATGTTTTTTGTTGTTGATAAGACCCTACTTTTAATTGGTTGATGTTTTAATAGGGTGGTGGCTCTGATTTTAAAGGTTAGAGCAAGGGAGTAAAAGTCAAGTACTTATGATCTTGTTTTCCCCCACTCCTAGCTAGGGACAACAATACCTGTCATTATGTATGAGGTAATTAATATTGTTCTTTGAGGACTGTTGGTGAAGGGCACTATATAAATTAATCCCTGTGTTAATATATCTATGTTTTTATCCATATATTATGAACTCTGTTGTACATAAGACAAATTCATTCATGATATGTCCTTAGTTTGTTACTCAGCAAAATTTGTGTCATGATAAATACTTTAAAATAGTTATACACATTAACCAGGGATTAGAGAGACTGATTTATAGACATGGAGTGGGAGGAAAAATAAAATAAAACCGCCATCTATTTCGGTAATGGAATCAGGTAAATTCAGGAGTTCTTAAGTGAAATGTAGTCAACAGGGGGCATCACGTCAAAAGGAGCATCTGTAATGAAGTAACTCAAGGATTATTTTAAAATCAGGAAATGAGTGAGTTAAGAAAATTAATGTCTCTTCTAACTCCTTAGACAGAGAGTGGTCCTTTCAAGCTTGATAAAGATAGTTTTCAGGACAATCTAAGAGAGGGGTTACAGTTCAACTTCCACCAGCAGGACTTCAGAAAAGGCAAAAAATGGCTTGAGTTTCTGAAGCTTCTGTGCTTTTTTTTTTTAAAAAAAATTAAAACTGATGAAATGCAAATGATTACTTATATTCTGAATATTTTATAATAATATTTTACATTTTTCTCCCCCAAATTTAAGAATTTATCACTTTTTCCAAAGGCTGGAATGGAGAGAACAGCAGCTAACCAAGATACAGGGAATGTGTGGCAGTATGTACTCCTGGCTGCTCATGTAAATCTTTCTTCACAGCAGGATTTGAACAAAAACTCACCACTTAATTGAACAGTTCAAACACCACTGAGCAGGAAATCTTGGTTAGACCAGAATACTTGTAAACTAAAGTATATAAACTTATATGTATTCTGACAACATACACAGTATTTTGAAATATCAAAAAAATTTAAGGGAATCTTTTGTGCTCTTCTGCCAATTGTGGGTGTGACTTGTTTTAGGACTTCGAAGTATTCCTTTTATACTGTAGCTGTTGGTTTTTTTTAAACAACAACAACAACAATCTTGCTTTATTTTCCTTTTTATTTTTGAGCTGTTTGCAACCCCGTTTTGAATAGTGAGAAACAATGCAATTAATTTTCTCCAGCGCAATCATGCATAGATTTAATAAGCATCCGAAGGTAGGATCCATCTGTAAAGTATGCGTTGCATGCTAAATTACTTCTCTTCTGTGGATTTTTTTCTTTCCAAACCTTAATTAATTGAAGAAAAAAAATGTTTATTAAAGTGGGAACAGGCTGGGCTCTGGCTCTCCGCCTCTGGTTCAAAAGTTCATACAATTCCCTGAAGGCTCATCTGAATGTGTGTGTCTCCCTCTCACAATCTTTCTTTCTCTGTCTCTATAGAGGGATGAATGCATAGAAAAGGTGTATTATTTTGTTCCCAGGATCAATTTTAATAATCTTAACTTGAGTAAACTAACGTGTGTGTGTATAGATTTGCATATATTATGTGTTTATATAAACAGTACACACACAGAGACACATAAATGTGTTATTTACCCATTTTTCTGTTGCTTAAAATAAAAAATTGATATACTTTCAGTGGCATCTTTAAACAGGATGTAGATGGAGAACAGGAAGTATAATTCTACAGGTGGATCTCAGACAGGAAATTAAAGAAATTATGTATGAACATAAGCTACATCTTTATGGGTAAATTTAGACCAGAAGAAAAAATATTATATCTATCCCAGGTAGAAAAATGTCTACCCGTAAACAGAGAAATGGAAAAACTAAATAATAGGAAGTGACTCACTCCTGTGAGGTGCTTTGGAGACAGAAGACATTTCCTGACCTGAAGTAAGCCTTATGTGAGCTAGGAGAAAAACAGCACGTTTATTGTAAAATGAAAATATTATCTTAAAGATGAACTAAGAATTTTTGCAATGACCTCAGTTGCTTACCTAAAATGGCATGAATTTCCTTTTGTTTTTTCAAAGTATTGCTTTTTTCTCTTTATTATCAATTTTTAGGTCCTTGTTTGTTTGTTTTTTTAAAAGTTAATATACAAGTTGTAGTTTTTATCAAAATTACTAGTTTGTGTTTTTACTTTAAAATAAGATTTGTTTTCTCCTTTAACACAAGTGAGGTTTGCACAATCACTTCTAGATTTAGGAGTATGTGAAACCAGAAAGCAGTGCTGAACTTGACTGCGATCTCACCTGATTGAAGTCTACTTCCCTTTGCCCAGTTGCTTCTTATGAAGCATAGTATTCACAGAAGAGCCTAGCAGAGGACTTTCCACAGGTTGTTTCATTTTCTCTTTGGACTCTTCTACAGGGTACCTCAAGTCACTGGTCTGTTAGTCATTTTAATTTTTTTTTAAGTAGACATTTAAATAGGGAGAAACCAAGCAGCATGGAAAGCTATTTTAGTTTGGTATAAATGCAGCCTAGTCACGTTAGCCCTTTTATCACACATATGTCTACCATCCTATACTATTGCTAAGTGAGTGTCAGATGAGCCATGGGGACATTCCTAGAAGGAATTTTGATGAATCAGCATTCCACATTTTCCTCTCAGAGGTCCTGTTGCTACTGCACATTGAAATGTACACATTTGGGCCACATTTGCAAACTTGTAAAATAAATTACATGGAGCTGATGCTGAAATATGATCACTAAGGAACAGTTATAATTGCCTTGGAAACTTGAAGACTATCATTTACTACGTAGGACATCTACTTATGTGTATACCATACCACAATCTCCCCACACCCAAAATTCTGACTTTTGGAAGAATCTCACTATTGCTCTCTAAACAGATTTTGGTTTAGACTTATGTGAAAACCCTGAATTGAATAGCTGTGGGTTTCACAAATTACATGCATGTAAATAACATACCTTTGAAAGGAGGATGTGTGGGCCCTTTCTCCTATATGCTTATGCCTCTGTTGTCGTAGATTGGCGTCCTTTGTGAGCTATTCAGTGACATTTCAGAACCATTTCGCTCTGCAGAAAACCCGCAGTTGTGTTTCTTTAGCTGACACTGTGGCACTTGCACTCGAAATTGCTAGTTAGAAAAAAAAATTGTTGAGGCCGGTGGCTGTAATCAGCGTTGTTGCTGTCTGTTTCCTCAGACTAATAGCAGAGCGATCCGAGTCTGAGAGTTCAAACAGAGGTTATCTTTCCCAGGTAGCATCTCGTCCAACGAGAATTTGATTTTTTTCTATAGGACTTTACTCCATTAGATTAATGAAATTTCAATGAGAGCCTGGCGCCCCCTGAAGCTTTGTTAAGAAAACAAATGGTGATTCTGTAGGTGTGACAGCTTGCTTGGAGAGTTACGAGAAGGTGCATACATCCCCACAATCCAGGCAGCCTGGAACACATTGATCTCTATTTAAAGCACCAATCGGATTTTTGTTAATTATAAATGATTGATCTGCAGTTTTTTCCTCTCTCTCCTGTTATATGTGAGGTTGCCCCTCCTTTCCCCACTTCTAACTTCTTTGCATGCTGAGTGCAGAGCTTTTTGTTTAAAGGGACAATCATAGAGAGCAAATTATAGCAGTACCCAGCAGCAATGCTATTGTGAATGTCATTGTCACAGCGTTCACGGTTCACCCGATTGAGGTGAGCCCTGAAGTAGATTTCAGACCAACTCCATGTTCCCTCTTTACTTGGCTCATTCCTAAAATAAAGAATTATGTTAATGAAAATAAAGTATTAGAATCATTAGAATAGTATATAGACACTGCCATTATTATGTTTTAAAATCTGAATTGTGAGCCCTGTAAACCAAATCCCCAATATTAACTCTGAACCACAGTGCATACCTTGTATGCACCAGGACATGATGTGTGACCAACCAACCCCTTATGTGACAACAGGGTGAGTGAAGGGAATATCTCTGACCTTAAATCTCAATTTATAGGCATTTAGGAGATTAATCCACCTTTTATCATCTTTGTGGAGTGGTTTTTTAATAATGTTTAGAAGCAATACTGTACTCAAAAACTGACACGTATATTATTCCTGATAATTGCTCACCACACATAGTTCTGAAGAGCCCAGAAACATCCCCAGCTTCTTTGTGAACGTATCTTTAGTGAAAATATCTGAGCATTAAATGTTTATTTATTGAATACAAAAGCACATAGTTGCATCTTTGTTATTTATAACATAATACATAAAGAATATAATTTACATAAGCTCTTGGGAAACATATTTGTAAAAATTAGTTTCAGGAGTATAGGTATTAGTGGATTACATTGAAAACTACATTGATTTCACACTTCTAACTCAAATGTAGTTTTTATGAATGTGTATTTCTTTAGTTTGAGCCCTTAATTAAGTTTTAGGACATATCTTTTCAAGTTAGAATAATGAATTTGCCTCAGCGTTCCTTTTTTTTTTTTTTTTTAATTGTCTGAATAATCCATGCAAAGCACAAGAGACTTTTCTAGGCCAAGAATCTGAAAGTAGTTTATAGTTGCAGTGACACTCTTCTGCAAAATCTTTTAGGTCTGAAGAAGTATTGCCTCATTTCTTCAAAAATACTGAAACTCTGTCAACTTCCTTATGAGTTGCTGTATCACTAATGATATTTATTAACTCTCACTAGCATAAAAGCAATCCTACCTTTAAAACAGCTGTCTAAAGTAGGCAAGAATCTCATGTATAACAGACCATAATCTGTCCACACCCCAAATTCTGTAATTTTTTGAAGGAGCTCACTCTAGCTTTCTAAATAGGTTCTAAGTCTGTAATACCCAAATATGAAAGGTGTTCTGAGAGAACTTCCCCATGAGGTAATTATTTAATAATCCTGTAAGTACTCTCAGGAAAACTAGATTTAAAATGTAATTTTTGCTGTGTGCTATTTGTTCTCAGTATTTTAAAATACTTCTTTTCTTCTCTTTATTACTGGTTATTATTTTTATTATAATATTTTTAAATTAGCAAATGCCATTAAGGCACATTTATAAATAATTATAACTATGACTTTTGAAATCAGATTTTGCATTAGCCAAAAAAAAGCAATGTGACTTTTTAAAAAATATTAGCACATCTGAACAGTTGTTGATGTCAATGTCTAAATAAGTGACCGATGACAACATTAAGAAATGAGTGATTGTGGTAAATTCACCAAGTTGTTTTCATAACATGTTTCCAAAGGGCTGATTTTTAAATGTTTTTATTTTATTCCTGTTGGTTGTTGTTTGTTTTTTAAATAGGCTAACTAATGATTTTCATTAGTGTATTTGTAATTTATGTGATCTTAGTAGGTTCTACCAAGGTTAAATAATTTAAGGAAATAAGCCCTTATCTGATATAAGATAGCTAATGAAGTATATTAGATACTTGCCCTATTGCTGTATGAAATGGATCTCCAAAGCTAACAACAGCTTTCTGCGGGAACACAAATCTCTATATAAATATCCAAATGTAGCAAGATGTTGCAAATTTTTAAAGATATGCCATAAAAATAGATTAACGCTAGCGTGCAGTCCTGTTCAACTGAATTACAAAGGGATATCATGGGATTGCCAGTGACACTCACATAAATAAAAAATCAATTCTTAATGATGAGGCAGACTTGTTTTAGCGCATTACCCAGGTTAAATGGGAGCACACAAAGACATCAACTCCTATAAGACTAGTGGAATCATTGTATATTAATATGATTTAGAGAGCTACACACCTCGATGGAATAATTGTTATTATATCTATAGAGCCAGATGGCACTGGGTGTAAACAGCCATGGAGCACCTCAAACACAAGTGCAGCAGGTGATCTTTAAGGTGTTCTTGCATCCTGCTCACTCATCTTATCATTGGAATCTGCATTACTGTTTGCAAACTGCAAAATGGTTTGATTGCTAGTATGCAAATTTTTCATAATGGTCCTGTTATTCAATAGGAATATACAACATACAGTGTCCTTAGCAGGAGAATAGATGAGGTAGAATAAATGAGAACTGATGAGACAGCTACCTGGATTTGTGTGGTTTGTACTGTATTTTTCACAAGAAAGAGACAGGGGAGTCATTTTTTTTTCTAGCACCAGTGGCAAAAAAAACACAAACCCTCAAATAGTGTTTTCAGAAATTTAAAAAATGAATCCACAAATTTTCTGTAAAGTAAGCTCTAGTAATTAGTTATCAAAATAACCCTATAAAGGAAACCAAAAGTTATAAAAATGTGTGCTTCTGAAGTAAGAGAAACCCAAGTTCTGAGAAATATATTTAATTTGTTATAAAATATCTTTCTATGTTTTGAAGATTTAAATCGACTTCTGCTAACTCTAATTATCCAGTTAAAGAAAACTCATCCACTTATTCAACAGATATTTATTGGACACCTACTATGTGCCAAGTACTGTTTTGGACACTGGAGATACATCAATGTAAAAAACCCTGCCCTCATGGAGTTTACATTCCTGGGGAGTGGGCAACACATGATATATGATATGATGATATGATATGATGATATGATATGATATGATATGATATGATATGATATGATGATATGATATATGATATAAGAAGATATGGGAGAAAGTGTGCTATGATAGAGTGTACAGGTGTAAGATTTGCTTTTTTCCCTAAAAACATAAAAGAAATCATCCAGGAATAATAAAAGAGGCTGGGGAAGTTCTTGTTTATCAACTTCATCAATCTTGTGAAATTTCTAGTGAGTTATCTCATAATGTACCTGCTGTTATAGTCTCAACTCAGGGGCCAGTGTTAAAGAGTTGGAATGAGTTCAATGTAAGCTTAGATTTTCTTGGCTTAAATTTAATAGTGTTACATAATTTTTTTTGGTCATTTTAGTGTTACATAAATTTTTTATGGTTTGGTTTCTTTCCTTTGATAATGACATTGGCTGGGTATCTCAGTTGGTTGGAGCATCATCCTGATACATCAAGGTTGTAGATTCAATCTCCAGTCAGAGCGCATACAAGAAACAATCAATGAATGCATAAATACGTGGAACAGCATGTATATATATATCTCTCTCTCCCTCCGTCCATTTCTCTCTCTCTTTAAAATCAATAAATCAATAAATAAAAATTTAAAGCATATTATCTTTAATTATAACTAATTCTTAAATTGCCCCTTGCTCTACCTTATATAATCCATGTTTTCTGGTTTATAAATATCAGGGACATAAAACTGGCCTCATATGGGGATCTTTATCATAGTGTATTTAGTGGATTTAGATTTCCAAACATATAAAACAGATTTTCCAAGTGTCTAAAATATAGGAAGTTCCTCAAAATTTTGGAATCTCGTAAAATAACCCTCTGTCTCCTAATGACAAAATTCATCTCAATCCAGAGAATATATTCCTCACCCCACTCCATGGTGCTATTGACTAATTACTCCTGGATTTTAAACTAATGTCCAGTTCTTCACCAGAGTAGTTTGTCAAGAACTACTGCTACTCCTTGGATGAAACACAGTACATACTGTGAAATATTCCTTTAGTTTAGGTGAAAAGGTAAAATTCATTTTGTAACATGGCATAGTCTTCATTCAGGTTTATTTTTTATTAAATATTAAGAATCAAAAAACATATATGCTTATTGCTGCATTTTTAAAAAATACTGAAAGGATGTGTTTCAAAGTGCTAATGGCTCCAGGTTATAACATAACATTAAGGATAGTATTTATGCTGTCTTTGCACTTTTCTTTATTTTAATTATTTTCTACAATGAACTTGTATTCTTTTTTAATGAAGAAAACTCTCTCAATATTATATTTTGAAAGCTAAAGGAGACTAAAATTTTATTTTTTATTTTATTTTTAACACAAACCTCAAAGCTGAGTTAGTGTATGCAGGTTAGTTCTGCAAATAGGAAGTTATAAAAATCAGCAAGCATCAGGATTTAGATAATACCATGAAATTACTAATCTAACCTATCTCTGTTCATTGTACTTGAAAAGTGCCGTGTAAAATTTGATCAATTTATCCTTTCTTTTATTTCCAAGACACCAAGATGTTTTAAAAATAGTAGGCTGGGATATTTCTATAGCAACATGCCAAATATACTAAATTTCATAAG